ATTCCCTGCCACTTGGCTGGAAAAGCTACCTCGACCAGCAGGGGCACGCTACTACCACCACGCGGCCCGTGACATGACGACGTGGACGCCGCCGTACACCAGGCCCGCCGATACCTTCCTTCGTAGCTGCCTCAAAAAGCCGCCGCACCACGGAGACATAGAGAAGGAACGTGCCGACGAGAGCGACGAGCAAGGTGACGCCGCGCACGACGAGTACGAGGAGAGCGATTAGCAGGGCGAGGCCCGAGCAGAGCTACGCGGGCCAAGAGACCTCTACGAGCCTCCAGTAGAGCCACGAGGGCCACCTGCTGAGGTGCGAGGGCCACAAGCTGAGGGCAACCAGTCGAGTTTCGCAAGCAAGCTACCGAGCTACGAGCACCACGAACTGAGCTACTCGGATAACAAGCAGAGCTTCGAGGGCCACCTGCTGAGCCACCCGGGCCACTAGCAGAACTACGAGGACAACCCGCTGCGCTTCGAGGGCCACCAGCAGAACCACGAGGGTCCCCAGCAAAGCTGCCAGGGCCACAAGCAGAGCTGCGAGAGCCCCCAGCAAAGCTGCCAGGGCCACTTGCAGAGCCGCGAGAGCCACCAGAAGAGATTCGAAGGCCACCCGCCGAGCTAGGAGGACCACGAGCTGAGCTACACGGACATCGAGCGGAGCTTCGAGAGCCACCAGCTGAGCAACCTGGGCCCGCAAAGCTCCGAGAACCATCCCCCTGCTCCTCGAGGACTGCCAGAAGAGCTTCGAGGGCCGCCAGCAGAGCTTCAAGGGCCACCAGCTGAACTACCAGTGCCACCCGCTGTTCCACGAGAACCACCACCAGAAACACCAGGGCCACCTGCTAAGCTGCGAGGTCCACCAGCGGAGCTACGAGGGGCATTAGTTGAGCTACTCGGGCCACCAGCTGAGCTACGAGGGCAAGCCGCTCAGCTAAAGGGCTACTCCGGCCTCCAGCTGAGCCACCAGGCAAGGCCGCTGGGCTACGAGAGCCACCGCTAGAGCTACGGCGACCACCTGCAGATCTACCAGGGCACCCACTGAACTACGAAAGCTACAAACTGAGTTACTTCGGCCACAAGCTAAACTACGAAGTCTACCGCCGGAGCTGTGGGGGCTACCAGCAGAGCTCCGAAGGCCACCGGACCTACGAGGGCAACCAGCTGAGCTCCGACGGCCACCAGAAGAGCTTCTACCACGCGATACACGCCATGAGGTGGAAACTGCGACAGCCAGAGGGATCGCAACCACCTACCAAGACAAATTGAACAGAGAACTCCAGCTGCGGATCCGTACGATAAAGGCTGTCTACGAGGCGGGCCGCATCTCCTACGACCAGTGCGAAAAACGCGTCGCCATTGCGCACCGCCATATGAGAGGCTCGCCATCGTGAGGTGCCACATGATCTTCATGTGGCACCTCGCGATGATGGCGCGGCAGGCCATCACAATAAGCGCGACTGGCCTGCCTGAAGCCACCACACTATGGAACAACGTACTATGCCATCATACCTACAACGATCACTCTGTATATAGAGTAGCCCTCATACTGCCATGCGTCTCCACCGGTGCAGACAAGGTGTGCCGTGTACACCGCTGCTGGCAAGGTACTGCGTGATCGTAGGCACCAACGGCATGTTTTGAGCGGCCCGGCCGCTCACCCATGCCCCCCTCCTCCTTGTCGTTATCATCAATGCATGGTATCCCTCCTTCTTCCGTCCCGTCCCGTCCTGTCCCGTCTCCGGAAATCGTCCGAGCTCTGGCGTGGGCTCGGCGGCCCCGTGGGCAGCGCGCGGGCCGCACGGCCGCGCGTGCGGGCAATTGGAATGAAGAGAACGCGGAAGAGGAGGAGGCGGAGGAGGGAGGAAGGAGGAGGGAGGAGAGAGGAGGGAAGAAAAGGAAAAGGAGGAAAAGGAGGAAAAGGAGGAGGATGAGGAGGATGATGAGGAGGAGGAGGAAGAGGAGGAAGGAGGAGGAGGAGGAGGATAAAGAGGAGAGCCGCTGAGGATGCGGCTGCTGCTGCTGATGCTGTTGTCGATGCTCTTGTTGTTGCTGATCCTGGTGCTGCGGCTGCTGCTGATTACGGGGATGACGATGATGAGGATGCCGATGGTGATTTGCAAGATGATGACGAAGACGATTGCGGTGTGGTCACGTTGCTAAATCTGAGGATCATGATGACGCATGATGATGATGTTGACGATGTTTTTTTTTGTTGTTCCCCCCCCCCCGGCGTGTGTGTGTGAACATGAGAAAAGGCCGTAAGCGCCAACTGGGCTGTCTGGGCTGTGGCAGGAAGCTAAGCACGCAGCTTTCTGGCATATGGCATTCCACGAGAGCGGTGGGAGACCGAAGCACTGGCAGAGATGGCTGCTCAGAACCCTCCCGCGCCCGGCAAAGAATCGGGAGAACACCACAAAGGCATCCATCACGTTTGAAGCCAGCCACGCATGGTTTGCGCAACATCATGTTGACGACCTTACTTAGACCAGCAGGAAGAATACCATCAAGATGCTTGAAAGACCATGCGGCGGAATGAGCGGGAGCGGCAGAACTAGACTTAGAAAAGCTAAGAAAAACCAGAGCCTCACAGAACTCAGAGATGTTTTCACCAGCGTCGTCATCATCACCACGAGCCTTCTTGCGAGGCGGCGACCCCTTAGGAATAACATCGGCACCACTATCCAGAACTCGACCTCCAGCTGCAGTAGGAAGAACAGTACCGCCACCTTCAGAACCAGGAACGCCACGTAGATCCACAGGGCCAGGATGATCAGCAGCACCTCCACGATGGTGATGATGAGGATGATGCTGGTGATAATGCTAATGACGATGTTGATGTTGATGCTGCTGCTGATGATGATGATGCTGATGATGGTGATGATGATGAGGATGATGATGATGATGATGATGATGATGATGATGATGATGATGATGATGATGATGATGATGTTGATCATGATGAGGATGATGCTGCTGCTGATGATGATCATGATAAGGAGGATTATGATGCTGCTGCTGATGACGATGATGCTGTTGACGATGCCCTTATTGTCGCTGTTGCTGATGCTGCTGATAATGATGATGAGAACTGTTGATGATGCTGATGAAGATGAGGATGAGGATGATGAAGAGGAGGAGGGGGAGAAGGCGGAGGAGGAGACGGAACTTGGATTCCCTCCTCGCCGCGAAATCGACTTCGAGGCGTTGGCAGCCCTGGACCTCCCGCGGCCAAGAGGGAAGAGCCACGACGGCGGGCCTTTCTCCAGCCCCAGGAGAGGCCCCTAAAAGAGGCGCCCAAGAGGCTCCCAGGAGGTCTCCAGCAGGCCTCCGAGATCGACCCCAGGATGCACCCATGGAGGCACCCCCGGAAGGCTTTGGCCCGTAGCCCAAGATTGGTGGCGGGATGGGCCGAAGCCACTAGATCCGCCGCTTCCTGTTGAATCATCGCAAGGGTGCAAGGCGTGCTACATGTTTCACTTTTTCAAACCGTTTCAAACAATCGCAATGGGGTCTCAGCCGAGAACGCCGGCCAACCGGAAAATTCCCCAGATTGGTCTCCCGACGGCTAACCCGCCCAATGTGGTCCCCAAGATGGCCTCCTAGACGGTCAAGGTGGTCCAAGATGGCCTCCAAGACGGCTAAGATGCCACCAGGTCGGCCCCAAGATGACTCCAAGACGGCCCCGAGAGGCCCTCAGGACGCCCTTACGAGGGGGCTCCACGAGGACCTTCAGGAGACCAAAACCACTGATGCCCCTCAGGATTTCCAATCGTTTTCTCGTTTTCGCCTCATCGGGCCTCCGACACCCGAGCACGGCCCCAGAGGCCTCCAGTGTGGAACCAGGTCGGCCTGAGGGCAAGGCGGCCAAGAGACGGCTCGAGAGGCCCCACGACGGCCCAAAGACTGCTCCACAGACCTCCAAGACGGCCCCACAGCGCCCAAAGAGGGCTCCACGACTGCCTAGTGGGACCAAGACGGCCTCCGAAGGCCAATCTGCCCCTCAGAAGCCCCCAGAGGCCCTTAAGAGGCCTCCCGAAGGTGTCATTTTCCTATCTCTCCTTCTCCTCCTTCCCTCTCCTCCTTATCTGTCTTCCTCCCACAAGTGTTCCCTCAAGGGCTGGGGGAACACGTAGTCCAATGAGTAGCTTGGCAAGACTTTAGCCCAACGTTTGGCCGCACACGCGTTTTCAAAAGGCAGCGGGCGGCGGTGGTTCGCCGTAGGCGTCTTCGATAGAGACCTGTGCCGAAGGACTCCCTCCCTCCTCCTCTTTCCCTTCCTGCTGTTCCTCCTGCTCTTCCTCCTCCTCCTTCTCCTCCTCCTCTCCCGTTCCCCCTCCTCCCCTCCATCCCCTCGCACCTGCCCTCCAACCAGATCTCACCCTCCTTCTCCTGCTCCTGTTGCTGTTGCCCTCACCCCCCTGCTCCTTCACCCTCCTCCTCACCCTCCTCCCCCGATTCTCTCTCTGTGCTTCCTCCTCCCTCTCCCATTCTCTTGCTCCCCCTCCTAATCATGCTCTCTGCAAGGGGAGGAATTCCCCGTCCCTGGATGTGGACGGGGACTTGAAGCGGGAGGGGGATGTGGGCGGGGAGCGGGAGCAGGAGGCGGATCGGCGCGGAGCAGTTGTCTTATCCCAATTCACGTGCTTGCGCATCCCCGGTGCTTTTTCATGTCGCGCGGTGGGGGTCTGGTCTGTGAAGCTGCATCAGAAGTGAACGCTCCCGATGGTGGTAAACCCGCTCAGCAACGACTGGTAGCATACTCAAAACCGTAGTGGGCACTGGCGTCATATCAACCCAGCCCCGGCAAAGATCTGCACTCTACTCGTGGGTCCAGGTCGTTCCGACCCCGCTGAAGGGGCAGCAGGCAAGCACTGAGCTCAAGCTGACGTAATTACACCACGCACTCAACACTCTTACGTCCGATCCAACATCCAAGACGATCGGCTGCACGTAAAAGTGACCCTAGGCAAGAGTGATCTTTGGTGCGCAACTTTCGAGGGGCGCAGGGGGGGGGGGACGGGGGGGCAAGCCCGAGCGCGGAAGCCGCTGCTATCGCGCCGCATTCGGCCACCAGAGGACCCCAAATGTGCCCGCACCCAAAGGCCACTCTGGCGAAAGGTACGAGCGCTGGTCAGGAGAGGCTACGTCCAGACAGAGGAAGTCCAGACGGAGACCGAACACTCCGTATGGACTTACTCCGTACAGACTTAGCCTCCGCCGAGCTGGAAAACCTTGAGCTGAAACTCGCCAACTGGTGCGCTCCTTCGCACCGCGCCACCCGCCAGCGACCACCACGCAGGCAGACGCGACGGGCTCACCACTGTGCTTGCGGCGCCGTATGTGTTTGTGTGTGTGTGTGCACGGGTAAGAACAGAGGACAAGAGCTGTGCGCACCTTGGGTGCACACCAGCTTCGCTCAACCGGCAGGATGCCCGAACGCCGCGATCAGCACGACGCCGACGAGCTGACAGAGGAACGCGCACGCGAATAGCTTCAGCTGCTTCTCGCCAGTGATTTCTCTGAAGACGAAGACCGAAATCAGGCTAGACACAACGATGGGCCCAACGGCGTCCAAGGTGTACCCGATGGAATAACCGAGCTCGTGTATGCCTCCGATCATGCAAGCGAAACCCAATGCCCAAATGCACCCGCTGAAATACGCGGGGCGGATGACGGCGTGCGGCACGGGTACACCTGCCAGCCGGGCGAGCGACGCATACACGTTGTATATGGCCGTGGAGGCCACCCAGATCCCAAAACACTGGGGAAGCACGACCGCCGTGGGCCGGTTCCCTGGGTGCTCTGCGTTGTAGAGGGTCGCCGGGACGCTCTGGACCCCGCACAGCCCGCCGCCCACGATGGCTAGGACCACGCCCACGAGCCTGCTGAACAAGAGGAGGGGGAGGAGGATAGAGGATGTAGGGCGTCGGTCATCTAACGAGCCTGCCCGCAGCTGTCACGCTATCAGGCCGAGCAAGAATCGGCTACTCGCAACAGCGACTCTAGACAAGAACGGCCTTGGGTGCGCAGCTTAAGGGGCCGCGGGGGGAGGGGAACGGGGCAAACAGAAGTGCGCAAGCCAGTGTTGGGAGGGCCACTGTGGGCCCGCACCAGAGGTCACTCCAGCGAAGGGTCACTCTTACGCGTAGCCGAAACATTATAGTGAATGTTAGCCAGCGTGGATTCCCCAAACAGTAAGCTATTGCACTGTGGATGTGTATGTTATGTGGTGTGAGCTATGTGGTCCAGTATACGTGGTGCAAACTCGAGGCGGCAACGGGGCAGCAACGTGGCGAAATCTCGCCTGACCCTCCCAGCGCAAGAGGCGGCATCGAGGCAACAACGGGCGGCAACGTGGCGGAACCTCGCTGGACCCACCCGGCGTACAAGGCAGCAACGCGGCGAAATGCCGGACCCACCCGGCGCACGAGGCGGCAACGGGCGGCAACGTGGCGAAACCTCGTCGGACCCACCCAGCGCACGAAGCGGCAACGAGGCGGTAACGGGCGGCAGCGTGGCGAAACCTCGCCAGACCCACACAACGAAAGAGGCGTCAACGAGGCGGCAACCAGACGGCAATGGGCGGCAACGTGGCGAAACATCGCTGGACCCACATATCGAGCGAGGCGGCAACGAGACGGCAACGGTCGGCAACGTGGCGCAACCTCGTCGGACCCACCCATCGCACGAGGCGGCAACGTGGCAATTATCCCAGTGCGACCCTACCTAGGAGTTGGAGCCCCTAGGAAAGCAGCATTAGTAGTAACAGTAAAGCTAAACTAGCTAAGATAAAGCTAAGCTAAAGTGAAGCAAAAGCTAAGCTAAAGCTAAGCTGAAGCTAAGGTAAAGCTAAGCTAAAGCTAAGCTAAGGCTAAGCTAACACTAAGCTAAAGCTAAGCTAAAGCTAAGCTGAAGCTAAGCTAAAGCTAAGCTAAAGCTAAGCTAAAGCTAAGCTAAAGCTAAGCTAAAGTTAAAGCAACACATAAGCTAAAGCTAAGCTAAAGCTAAACTAAATCTAAGCTAAAGCTAAGCTGAAGCTAAGCGAAAGCTAAGCTAAAGCTAAGCTAAGGCTAAGCTAAAGCTAAGCTAAAGCTAAGCTAAAGCTAAGCTGAAGCTAAGTTAAATCTAAGCTAAAGCTAAGCTAAAGCTAAACTAAAGCTAAGCTACAGCTAAGCTAAAGCTAAGCTACAGCTACGCTACAGCTAAGCTAAAGCTAGGCTAAAGCTAAGCTAAATCTGAGCTAAAACTAAGCTAAAGCTAAGCTACAACTAAGCTAAAGCTAAGCTAACACTAAGCTAAAGCTAAGCTAACACTAAGCTGAAGCTAAGCTAAAACTAAGCTAAAGCTAAACTAACGCTAAGCTAACACTAAGCTGAAGCTAAGCTAAAGCTAAGCTAAAGCTAAGCTAAAGCTAAGCTAAAGCTAAGCTAAGGCTAAGCTAACACTAAGCTAAAGCTAAGCTAAAGCTAAGCTGAAGCTAAGCTAAAGCTAAGCTAACGCTAAGCTAAATCTAAGCTAACACTAAGCTAAATCTAAGCTAAAGCTAAGCTAAAGCTAAACTAAAGCTAAGCTAACACTAAGCTAAAGCTAAGCTAAAGCTAAGCTAAAGCTAAAGCTAAGCTAAAGCTAAAGCTAAGGCTAAAGCTCCCAGGGGACTGGGGGAACCGCGGGGCGGGGACTGGGGGAACCGCCCGGGACGGTTTCCATTGCCCGGCCCCTTTAGCTAACAGAGTAAGAACCCTTCTAGGCAGAGCCTAGGTAGGGAAAAACTCGTCATACCCACACGACGCACGAGGCGGCAACGAGGCGGTAACGGTCGGGAGCGTGGCGAAACCTCGTCGGACCCTCCCAGCGCACGAGGTGGCAACAAGTCTGCAACGGGCGGCAGGGTGGCGAAACCTCGTCGGACTCACACCCAGCGCACGAGGCGGCAACGAGGCGGCAGCGTGGCGAAATCCTGCCAGATCCACACGACGCACGAGGCAACAACGAGGCGTCAACGGGCGGCAGCGTGGCGAAACCTCGCCGAACCCACCCAGCGCACGAGGCGGCAACGAGGCGGCAACGTGGCGAAACCTCGCAGGACCCGCCCAATGCACGAGGCGGCAACGAAGCGGCAACGGGCGGCAGCCAGGCGGCAATGGGCAGTAACAAGGCGAAGCCTCGCAGGAACCACCCAGCGAACGAGGAGGCAACGAGGCGGCAATGGGCGGCAACGTGGCGATTCCTCGTCGGACCCATCCGAGTCCGTAGTAACCCAAGTGAGAAGCCCCAAGCAGAAACACAGCTTGGGGAGAAAGCGTAACGACTTTTAAGTGTAGTCGAAAGCCGTCGCTCTTTCGCGTAGCGGCTCAAGCTGCTGCCTGATTTCGAAGAAGGAACAGGCTTGTAAACATCGAAGGTGCGCGCGGATTTCTTGGCTCGTCCCTGGACCACTCTCCCTTGCGCCGTAGGCGCAGCCAGGGGGGTTCAGAGCCGAGGCAAGAAATAAACGCGGTCCTCCGAGCATTTCTGCTTGTGCCGTTCTTCCTGTTTCGAAGAGAGAAGATAAACAAACGCGTTCCACTACTCGCAAAATAGCTACTCGCAAATGGCCTGGATCCGCCGCAGGGGATCCACGATAAATTACATCGAAGCAGACAAGTGTGCTTCGGACGTTTGCAAGTAGGCACTTTGCGAGTGGCGGAACGCGCTCGGTGAGAGGAGAAGGAACAAGGCCGGCCTGTTGAGCAGTCGCGTGCGCCCGGGCCCGGCGCTGGCCCCGGAGCCCACGGTGGACGCAGAGGCCGTCCTCGCGGCCGCCTCCTGGTCGTCCTGCTCGGCTGCGTGTGGGAGCGGCCCTCCCTGAGATCTGGGCGTTGCAGTGCTTTTGCCTTCGGCGGGTTCGCCCGGTCTCGGGCCTCGGGTCGGGGATCTTCTGACTGAGCCAGGTCAATCCAGACCAGGGTCAGTCAGGCCTTGCAGAATCCTGCAAGATCCTGCAGGATCCTGCACCCAAGCCCGGGTCAATGCGACCCTGGCCCTGCAGGAACCTGCAGGGTTGGGCACTCTGGCTGGCCCCCGTCTCGAGGCTCCCGACTGGAACCGTCACACATCGTTCCGGATCGAAGAATGCTGCAGAAGGATGGAGTCCAGGGCTCCAGCTGTCACCCCTGGCGTGCGCATTTTTCGCAACGCCGGATCTCAGGGAATGCTCCTTGGTGCAAGGCGTGCCCATCTTTGCGCGCTGTGCGACAATGGCGGCCTGCCCTGGCATCCTCGCGTCGCAACAATATGATTTCCCTTACCGGGCCCTTCGAAAGAACGGTCGGGATAAAAAACGGGTCCTCAAGAGGGGAGGGGGAGGAGAAGGAGGAGGAGGGGGAGGAGGAGGAGGAGGAGGAGGAGGAGGAGGAGGAGGAGGATTGAGGAGGCTATGAGGTGAAGGAGGAGGAGGAGGAGAAGGAGGAGGAGGAAGAGGCGGAGGACGAGGAGGAGGAGGAGGAGGAGCAGCAGGTTGAGGATGATGATGGGAAGCAGGAGGGGGATTGAAGAGGCGAGTAGTAGAAGAAGAGAAAGTAGTAGTAGTAGTAGTAGTAGTAGTAGTAGTAGTAGTAGTAGTAGTAGTAGTAGTAGTAGTAGTAGTAGTAGTAGTAGTAGTAGTAGTAGTAGTAGTAGTAGTAGTAGTAGTAGTAGTAGTAGTAGTAGTAGTAGTAGTAGTAGTAGTAGTAGTAGTAGTAGTAGTAGTAGTAGTAGTAGTAGTGGTAGTAGTAGTAGTAAAGGTAGTAGTAGTAGTAGTAGTAGTAGTAGTAGTAGTAGTAGTAGTAGTAGTAGTAGTAGTAGTAGTAGTAGTAGTAGTAGTAGTA